CGGAGTGTTAATCTGTGTAGAGGGAGGCAGAATCAAATGATAATTTGATAACAAAATATAATTTGCACATTACTATTTATATAGGAGCTGCACTGGAGCTTTGTTTTTTATACCCACTGTTCTGTCTGAAAAGGTGCACTTTAAAGTGGACCTTTCAGTACCTTTAAAAGTCTGTCTTCCTTCCCTTTTGTTCCCATCCTTAATATTTTTCTTATATTATTGGACATGAGTGTTCTTATGTCATACATGCCTTTTTCAATAATTGTTCAATAATCTTTGAATATCTTTATGTTATTTAATGTTCTGTTTATTCGTTTAAATTAATAAAACTTAAATAAATAAAAAAAAATTTAAAAAGTCTGCATTAATAAATTCCGGACTTGTCACAATATACAGCATCATTTTTCATATATAGTTCTACTCTTAAAAAACAGTCCATAAGATCCAAGTAAGTGACTTTTCTTAGGCTGAGTGAGATGGTATCCTCAGGGCATATGTTTAAATCAGGTTTCCCCCTGGGTCCGGCCAGTTCTGAGGACACATACGAAACAGTGTTCCCTTTCACCGCACCTGATCTTGTCGTATCGGGGTAACCTGACATAAACAGACACTTGTCCATTTACATCCGACTCCCCCATAGACAAACATGCGGTCTGGTCATTTCAGTTTTTTCCTCCATCGTTAGACATCCAGTGACATCTGATCCGCACCACTCTGATCAAGAGCATGGATCCCTTAGAGCCTTAGACCCCATTTCACACCAGGGCGACAGCGTTTCACCGCGCTTCACATGTTTTTGTTGCGCGTTTTTTATGTGCGTTTCAACGCATTTTCTGTTCATAAGCAATAGCGTTTCAAGGCACGTTTTAAGCTTGTTTTGCAGCTGTCCAATGAAAAGCAGTCTCACCTGCAAAAACACGCAAATTTGTGCTGATGCGCTTCCACTGAAGTCTCTGGAGCAAAACAGGCTGATAAGTGCCACAAAAGAAGCTCAGGGACTATTTCAAACACCAGGCGTACTTTGATGTAAGGGGAAAAAAAAAAAAAAACACGTGATGAAACGCCCTGGTGTGAACGGGGCCTTAGTCTCCTCTCTCCCAGTGATCGTACTGTAACTTTGCAGCAAGTCACAAGGTGAGATGCTGCAGCAAGGCTAATCTGTGTCAGAGATTTGTGAAAACAGCCAAGATTAACATGATTGCCTCATGTCTTAGCCAACATCTCAGACGCTTACTCTGGCTAATGCCAGAACATCCTTCTGGAGAAATAAGCAGATAAAGGCATCATCAGGGGAAGTAGTCTGACCTCTGTGAAAGGTAATAAATACCTGGAAGTAATACACGAACATATTACAAAAATATATCTGATGCTAGGTCTACTTTAAGTGCGCCGACAGCTGCGGTGTGACAAATATACACATCAAACGGAGATGACAGGAGAAGCGGCACATATTAAATGTAATTAAGTGTGATCTATTTTTATGAGTCCAGGCCATCTCTAATTCTGGCTGAATCATGTTTAATTAAAATCCTGCATATATCCCACATGTATTATCCCCCCTGGACGTGCGACGGAAAACTAGGGCAAAAATAGCAAATGATAACGGCGAGATGATCAGATTACGCTCATTAACTCGTAAGAAGTCCCGTGTTGCAGCTTACTGACAGCTGAAATCATCATCTTGGACCAAAAAAAATTATATTTTGGTAGATATTATTGAATTAAAAGTAAAAACAAATTATATCAATTAAAGAATACACATCCTACACAAACCATTCTGCAATCTATTGTGTTACAATTGACATTCCCACTTCAATCTGCAGCCTGTGGTTTTCCAAAATTCCCAAGAAATTCAAATTTCTCTTCCTTGCAACTATGGCAACTGTAATCTGTGATTAGGGTATTCCAGAATGTCCATCATCTTGCTCCTACAATTGGCTTCCTGCTCCTAGAAGCCTACACAGAGCTATAGGTCCAGTTATAGACATCCTCTGCAATAGAAGTTTCATTTTTGTTGAGGTACTCTCAAACAATCTTGCACTGGTCAAAGGATGCCAGGGCTGCAGATTTTATTTTATTTTTTACAGATAGGGAAAAAAAAAATATATATATATATATATTGTAGCAGGTCATCATGTAGAGAGCAAGGAGAGAATATATTTCCGATTACAACACTGTAACAGATTATGGGTGACCCTCCCACTTTTTTCCTGAGCAAACCTGAAGTTTATTTTAAACTGAATTTCTTATATCTCTGAGGAGTCCTGTTGATGGGATCTAAATGTGACTTTCAATGTATGAATATATGCTTTATCCAGTGGGGTCCCCCATTCTCCCGGCTGGGTCTTGAATGTATTTTATAACATGAAGAATACAATAATAGGAACAGTAATACCACAACATGGTTGAGAAAACCCTTTTACATTGTAAGCTCTCATGAGCAGGACCCTCCTTACCATGTTGTCTTGAATTGTATTGTAACTGTACTGTCACTGCTGTATAAATCCTGTAAAATCATCATCATCATCCTGCATAGTAGACAATGATACCCAAAACCTTAACATTACCATGTCAAAATACTCAGGACCGTCTTTAACGCAGGGCAAAAGGGGCGGTTGCCCAGGGCCCACTCATTGTTGTGGGGCCCAAAGCAGCTGCCCCTTGAGCAGGTCCTGTGCTGCAAAACTCCTACCACTGGCCCTACATCTCAGCAATGACAGGAGAGCGCTGGATGATCGCAGAGCGGGTCACACGGACAGAAGAGCTGGGTGGATGGCCTCCCCTCCCATGCTGTGTATGTGTGTGCTGGAGGGGGAGGCAATACTGCTTAACTGAGCATGACAGCCATGGCCGCTGTTTAACTCCTTGGCAGTGGGCATAGGTGTGTGCATGGGGTGTGTCTGTGCACACCCTAGTCACCCTGAGCGTCAGTGGAAGCCTTCACCTGGAGCACACAGGCAGGCAGCAGAGTGAACTTCGGGGACGTGCCTGGGCGCCAGGGTAAGCACTTCCGTCCTTTCCACTCAGCCCTCCACATGGCCAGTTAAGTAAAGTGTGAGTAGGGTTTCTTTCTCTCCCTCTCCCTCCCTCAGTTACAGAGGACTACATTGCTGTATAATGTAATGCTGGGATTTGTAGGCCTTTATAGCCGGTGCCATTCTACATTGCTGTATAATGTATTGCTTAGATTTGTTGTCCCTCTACAGCTTGGAGTCGGTGGCACAACTACCAGGGTTGCAGTGGTTGCAGCTGCGACCAGGCCTTGGCGCTCCATCACTGTCCTAAAATCATTAGTATTTGGTATCAGTAATTGGTATCGGCGAGTACTTGAGAAAAAGTATTGGTACTCGGTCTGGAAAAAAAAGTATTGGTGCATCCCTAATGACCACCTGACGTTTGTAGGCAAATTAGCTATAATTTCGCGCTGAGATTGCTAGAGGGCCAGACCATTATAAATAGGGAAGCAGGTTGTTTACCACGACAGTAGAAGTGATTTTTTTTTTTTCTGAAGATATGGGTAAACAACGCGATTAACAGCCTTTGAATGTGAGATGATTGTTGGCGCTCGGAGCCATGGAGCGAGTATCAGCAAAACAGCAGAATTCGTTAAATGTTCAAGAGCAGCTGTTAAAGTGTTTAAAGACTGGACTGTCAGCCGAAAATCTGGATCTGAACATGCAAATTGTGGCCGTCAGCGACTAGTCAATGTTAGGGCAGAACGGAGAGTGGCAAGACTGGTACAAGACAACAGTGCAGTGTCAGATTCCTCGCATCACCTTTCAACATCTCGTGGAGTCACGAGGCGGCCCAACGAAGTACTGATGGGGTGGTCATAATAATCTGGCCACTCAGTGTATATATAACATTTATTATATTATTACATACATACATACATACATACATACATACATACATACATACATACATACATACACACACGTGTGTTTTGTACTTTTTTGTGCACACCCTAATGCAATGGGCTGTGCACGCCTATGGCAGTGGGCATCATCTTTAGTGTTGGCTGAGCTCCTCTTCCTCTCTCTAGCCAAACTAAAGTTGAACTTACCTTTCAATTACACACAGGGAGGAGAATTCATCAAACTTGGAGCAGCTGTGCATGGCAACCAATCAGCTTCTATGTTTTGTTTTCAACGCTTAACTGAACAAACTGAAGAGAGAAGCTGATTGGTTATTATGGGAAGCTGCCCCTGGGGTGTTCCCAAGCATACTGGCAGGGGGGAATTTATCAAAACTGGAGCAGACAAAGGGAGCTTCTCCCTTTTTTTTATTTTCAAATCTTACCTGAGCAAACTGAAGAGAGATGCTAATTGTTTGCCATGGGAAACTGCTCCAGATTCTGTCTATTCCAGTTTTAATAAATTCCCCCTGCAGTAGCTGATTTCTCACTGGAAAGAAAAACATGGTTTGCAGGTACATCTAACAGCTCCAGAGTGGGAGTCTAAGCTGATCTTCAACCAAGTTACTATGTGATGTACAAGCCTAAAAAAAAAAAAAAACTTATATTTTACCTCTCCTGAATGAGCCAAATCCTCCATTTGTGGCTCACATGCTCCCCCTCCCAGACACTGCAGCTCACAGTGGGAAGCAAAAGACGTAGTGCTGGCAATCCAGAAAGTGGAGGGCAGGACTAGGTGTGGCCAGTTGCTTACAGACAAGCTACAGTCTTATGAATCGGTACTAATGCTGAGAGACAAGCCCCCTGCAGCATCTCCTCATCCCACTGTACTGCAAGCAGCCACAGCCTACATGAGTAACAATGCTGCTCTGAAGTTAGTAGCAGTGCAGTATTGTTGTCCCCTATCTCAGGATGCTGCTTGAAGTGGGCTGCATTGGCAGGATCAACAGGGATTTGTGGGACTTGGCAGATAACCAGAAAATGGTACCTACAGACGAACTAACAATTAAGTCCTGCAGCATAATTTGTTTTTTAATGGGAGGCATAGTTTTACTTATAAAAACTTTTTTAAAAATGTCAAAGAAATTTGGTAAAGAAAAACATTATTTTTTCCCATTCCCTGTCTAGCATTAGCAGTCCTCCAATTTTATCATGTATGTGTTTTCTATTAGCTGTAGCGTACCTTCAATTTTGGTCTTGAAGTGTGGGTATCGGTTGATAATTTCCAATTGTTTCCTCCAGTCAAATTTATTCCTCCAGTAAGACACCACTTTCCGAAGATGAATGGAGTTGAAGCCATAGTTAAAGCGGCTGCCCTCCACCGGCTCAGTGTAACGCGTCTGGTCTATCCGGTGAAACAAATCCTGCACAAAACACAAAGGTGATATGATGAGTGCCATACGCTGAAGGGGACCTATTGTCATCAGACATTCAACCTGACTATACATATTGAAGATCTAATGAGAGAAGAAAGGTTGGAGAATGATGATTGGAGAGGTTCCAAGACTGGTGGAATATCACAATATCAATGCTCAATATGCTGATGACGCCTGTAGATGAAAGTAAAGAAGACCTCAAGGGCTTCATAAAGAAAGTTAAAAGAACAGAATGAAAAAATGGGAATATCAAGAAAACTAAGGTTATGACAACAAGGAAGACGGCAAACTCTGGAATTCATAGTGAAGATATAGAAGTAGGGGACCTCTCCTGCTTCCTTGAATCCAATATTAACAACCAAGGTTAAAGCAGTCAAGAGATACAATGCAAACCGGCACTTGATAAAGCAAGGATGAACAACCTAGAAAAGATCTTCAAAAGTAATGAGGTGTCTATAAGAACAAAGATTAGACATGTCCAGGTTATGGCATTTTCCCGTCTCTATAGATGTGAAGGCTGGACAATGAAGGAGCAAGACAGGAAAAGCATTGACTGAACTTGGGTCTTGGTGAAGAATTCTATCATGGATGGATCCTTCAACAACTAAAACCCAGCACTGCACCAGAAGCCCAAGTAACTACATTGAATTGTTTTTATTTTCAACACCCAATGAGAAGAATCAACTCCGGAAAAGTTGAGGGGAAAAAGGAAGACCAGCAATAAGGTGGCTGGATAAAGTCTTAGAAAGTATGGACATGGTGTTGCAAAGGCTGAAGTCCCATACAGATGACAGATCATTCTGGGGAACAACTTTCAATGTGCGTCAACATCAACTTGATGTCACTTTCCCACAAAGTTTTCCTACTCTTTTGCCCCCCCACCCCTTTTAAGTAGGTCTAGCCCACCTCCCAACCCTCCAAATTGATACTCTTACCTAAATCTGCCTCTGGAACCTGAAGGCATTGTTTACATCCCTCCATTGGCTTTTTGATCTGATGTCCATGTCTGCATATTGCAGCCTCATAGGCTTCTATGGGGCTGGTAGACGGGAATCGATCTTTCTCAAAGTTCTATCGAAGCCTATGGGGCTGAACAGCACATGTATGAATGTCGGATCAAGAAGCCAGTGAAGGGATGTAAACAATGTTGCAGGCATCGGAGGAACATCTAGATAAGTATGGTGATTTGGAGGGGAGCATCGGCTTTATCTGCTAATGAGGGGTGAGGGTAAGAAAGGCCTTGGCACATACCAAAAGGTGAGTGGGTCACACCTGCAGATTTAAGTGTCTGTGGCCTCACTTTAGTTCAGCTCCCCCAGGAGATTCCCTCCGCTTCCTTTCATGGTAACAACATAGTCTGCAATGTGGGTAATGAGCATGCCTGCCCTATTACTTCCTGTACTTAAAGCACCCAATCCTCATAACTCAACACATGGTGAAAGCAATGGAGAGACGTTTTAGATATGGCTAGGTGAACCTCCCTGGAACAGCTGCAACCTCTGCTATGCTATCCCTGTTTCAGACCAACACAGATAGACATATGGAAAGTCAAGATCAGTGTAGTCAGGGGACCAAACCATTTCCTATAAAGGAACTCTCTGCATTAATTGTCTGTTACTCTGCGTCTACATCCTTCCACCTGCTACTGCGGCAGATGAAATGTGCTCGGGGACATGTTTCTACGTGTGAAGAGTCTGTGGTTACTTGAAAGAAAAAAACAGGCTGCCATCAACAGAGAACACTGAGCAGTACATCATGCAGAAGACTACAACAGGTCCTACAGGATCCTGCATACTGGTAATGCGTCTTTACTCTCTCCACAGATATATAATGTGCTGCTATGTACTTGTCACCAGAGACAGCCTCTGAAATCAGCTTACATTTAGCTCCTCATCTGACGTCTCGATTTTAAAAGGATGAATGTCCTCGTTCTCGTCTTGTCTCTGTCCAGCACCCCACCATCCATCTCCCATGCGCAAAGTGTCATCTTTATTCCCAAAGACAAAGTGGTACAGGAGAGCCCCAACCACCAACGCTCCAACGATCTCTAGAAGCATTTTACCTACAAGAAATAATCACACAGTTAGTGAACACCAACACGAAAAATGATTTCAGGGTCATTGATGCTGCACCCATATACACCCCCAACCCACCGTGACATATTTAATACATAGAAAATTTAAGGTTTAAAGGGCCGGGTGAGTTTCAAAACACAAAATTCAATGCAACGGACTATTAATATTTATACTTAATAACATTGTAGATTGTTGATCTACAGGTGTAGTCAAACTCCATCCCTTCAACAAGGGTGCAACTACAAATCCCATTAGGCATTGCAAGACTCTGACAGCCACAGGCATGACTCCCAGAGGCAGATCCATGATGGGATTTGTAGCTTCACCACAGCTGGAGGCTTGGAGTTTGCCTACGCCTGTTCTAGGGAGTATTCAATGGCCTTTGGGGATCAGGACTAATTTTTTTCCCCTGTTGCAGCCAACCGAGTCATGTTTTATAAGGGTTCTTTGCCTTGCTATGGATCAGCTGTGGGTTTAGGGTTCTGAAAATATTAGTATTAAACATGATAAATAATGGAGTGTACTGAGCAACAAGTTCAACTAAGAGACAAAAATAATGATATTAAAAGAGAACTATGGGGTAAGTGTTTTTGCCACATAGTTCTCTTTTTAAGGTCACGGGAGGACATATACTAACCTCCTTCCGTGACCCAAAGCTCAGTATATAGGGAGCTATTGCCCGCTATATACTGAGAGCGCAGCAGCTGGGACGGATCCTGACACTGCTGTCGAGATCTACCCAGCTGCGTGAGTGACAGCGGGCTCTGCCTATCTAGTGGCAGAGCCAGCTGTGCCCGCCCCCTCCCCGGTCGGTTCCTCCACTCAGCGCTGGAGGATCAGAGAGGGGGGGGGATCCCTGCGCGGAGCCAAGACTGACGCTCTCCGCAGGGATAGATCGAGAAGTGAGCGAGCGACGGTACGTGTTTGCTCACTTCCCGACATATAGAGCCGACCTGTGACAGTTTCATTGTCAAACGTCGCCTCGAACTATGAGAATGAGTGGAAATCACTCACCTCATAGTTCTCCTTTAAATAAACTTTAATTTTCTCTTTGTCAGGCAAATCTGAAATGCTACACATAAATGTTTCATATTTATCACTTGCAGCCATTAGGTTAAGGGTGGGCAGCTCCGGCCCTCCAGCTGTTCTTTAACCACAAATCCCATCATGCATCTGCCAATGGGAGTCATGCCTGTGGCTTTCAGTCTCGCAATGCCTCATTGGACTTGTAGTTCCACAGCAGCTGGAGGGTCGCAGTTACCCATCCCTGCAGTAGGTGGTGTTCTATGTAGGCTACTATATATTCTCCATGAAGGTTCTTTCTTACAATTGTTGTGCTAAAAAAATATATAGCTGAATGGCTCAGAGGAGCCTCCAGCTGCATTAGTAGCAGAGAGGAAACCCCTCAATTAGTCTTCAGAGACTGCCAAGAAATCCTGACAATGCTGGGCTCAGTAGCTGAAGCTGATATTTACACACACACACACACACACACGTCATAATAATAATCAGAAGTGTGACTAATCCCCCTCCCACCTCCTCTTTGCTTTTTTTTTGGTTTGTACAGAAATTCAATGAGAGAAAGACAGTCTGATAGCAAACAGCCAGTGGTGTCCCTAGCTTTTCTGCCGCTTTTAGGCAGCGGGGAGGCTTGGTGGAGGTGGTGAAGTGATGCCGCCCTCTGCAGGCTCTGCATCTCCCTTCCTGACTTGGTGTCCCATCCAGCTCTTTACAACCAGTGACATCACTGGTTGCCAGGAGCTGGGCAGAACCCCGGAACAAGCATAGCAGCTTGCTGAGAGCTGAACGTGGAGATGCGCATGTCTCTTACACATCTCCCAATCTGGCTCTTAGCAACCTGGGATGCTCTGGCCAGAAAGGGAAACAAATGGCAAACGCACTCATCAATTTGTTACCAGCTTTAAAGCAAGGTGCACATGAAAGGGCTTTAAACAGTAACAGCAAAAAGTTTCCCAGCACACTCACCAGCCAGCATGCAAAAAAAAGTTGTCTCACCGCTAAGGTTAAAAACAGAAGTTTAGATACAAGTCTTCTGCAGAAAATGTGAAAGCCGCACAGCCGCGCCAAGGCACCTCCTACATAGTGCGGTCCTAACTCTAAACTATGAGAGTCAAGGTGCACATGGAAGTGGTTTGATGCATGGGGGGGGTCTCAGCTGCCATTGTGATGTGCGGGGTCCTTTGTGCATCCCTGTGCCTTTTAAGGGAGGTTGGGCTTCCTCCTGACAAACCTGCACCCAATTTTATCTTTTGCGACATGTGCTCCAAGATGGAGACTCTCATAGTTTAGAGTTAGGACCGCACTATGTAGAGGTGCCTTGGCGCGGCTTTCACATTTTCTGCAGAAGACGTGTATCTAAACCTCTGTTTTTAACCTTAGCGGTGAGACAAGTTTTTTTTTGCATGCTGGCTGGTGAGTGTGCTGGGAGACTTTTTGCGGTTATTGGCCAGAAAGGGGGTGCAGGCACACTGCAAACATTGTGGAGCAGAACGACCATGCCACTCTGCCTACCGTCCCCCCACGTGACCCAAAGAGATGCCTCAGGCTGACTCTTTAAAAGCCCTTCAAACAGCATAATTCCCGCCAGTGTCATGCGTGCACCCTATATTAAATATTTATTTGTACAGCAAAATTGAAAATACATATTTTTTTTTAAAAATCAATTTTGAAAAAACATACAATTAAAAAAATCAAGCTACAACTGTCCCAAAATGATTATAGATTCCCTTTTATGTTAAATCCGGGCAACATGAATTGATAGGAACAACATGAATATAAAAGTTAGGATGTGAATGTAGCTCTGATCAGTGGTGCAAACAAAAATATTTCCAGGGTCAAGACCTTTCCGGGATAAACTTCCAAGACCCGGCACTGACCCAGGAAATCAGGGACAAGTGTCAACCACGCAGACCCCTAATGATGATGTCCCCTCACCTTCACTGTCCTCAGCCCACACAGCAGATTGCTACGTGTGAGCTGCCGAGAGCATAGAATAGGTCCCACACAATAAAACTACAGTGAAAATTAGAAGACAGCTAGAGGCCTTGTGTTTTCTATGATGGAATTATAACGAGGAGGTCGTGTCTCTCTCTGTGATACCCGGAACTCCGACAAAGACAGAAACATTTATTTTTATAAATATAATCTGTGCAAAACAGCATTTCCCTTTTTGTTCAGCCCATGGCTCCCTCTCCATCCACATCTCTTTCATTTGAATAGGGTAGGGAAGACTTAGATCCTGTGTTGATTTTATTGCTGTCTCTGTTACTTTTACGGAGATATACCTTCACTTTCTGTCTCAGTGACCACCTAAAGCACAGCTCCAGGCAAATATAACACATACAAATTAATGCAACTCAGTATTCATTATTATTTGTAATCCAAGCAGTGTAAGTTCCTGAATCTGATCTGGTATCAGCCTCTTGCTATTTTCTATACAGCAGAGCTCAGGTAGAGGGAGAAGCAGAATAGGGAACTGATCCGTTGTGCGGCATTGCAAGGAGCATGCTGATAGGACAAGAGAGCAGCGTGACAATCTTTCTATCAGTCTTCTGCTTCTCCTTTCGCGGTCCAATCACAGGCTGTAGGAAGGACTAGACCTGCCAGTGTTAGTGAACTGTAGCAGAGAAATATCAGATCTACCGCCTTGCCAGATAGGGCTGAGCTGTGTGGCAGGGGTGTGTAAATCTCAGAGCTGGTTGGAAAGAAATACATATCCTTTGGCAGATAAGACATATTTATTTCATCTGTGAATGTAGCAGTTTGCCCGACTTTCAGCTTTTAGGGCAAATAGAAAAAATATACTGGACGTGATTTGAGAGATTCTGAATTAAAAAAAAACTTGTGTTCTTATTTGGAGTTATTTCTGGTTTATAAGCATTTTGGCACTCTGCTAGAGGGAACGATGTTAATACGGCGGTTTTCTGCAGATGCTAAAGTTAAGAGATTTGGAATTTTTTTTTATCTGAAGTGACTCATTTGCTTGTCATGCTGAAGTAGGGCTTTCCCAGTAAAATGGGCATGTATGGGCAGAATGTAGCTGAGGAGGTTTATTCTGCTAAAATTGACATATAAAAAGATAGTTGCACTACAATTAACTCTGTACATGAGATAAAAGTGGTATGTTAGTTGATTAGCCTTCATTAGATATGAGGACCTCCCAATGGAGGTCATTGGCAAGGCCTCCATAATATTGGTGTTTAATGGCAAGCCCCCTTTATATTGATGGTTAGTGGCAAGTTCACCTTTACAATGGTTGTTAGCAGCAGACCTTCATCACATTAGTTAGTGGCATGGCCCCTATCACATAGGTGAATAGCAGCAAGGTCACCTTTACAATGGTTGTTTGTGGCAAGGCCCATCACATTGGTGGTTAGTGGCATGGCCCGCATCACATTGGTGAATAGCAGCAAGGTCGCCTTTACAATGGTTGTTAGCAGCAAGGCCCCCATCACATTGGTGAATAGCATCATGGCCCGCTGTCACATTGGTAAATATCAGCAAGGCCACATTTACATTGGTGGTTTGCAGCAAGGCCCCCATAACAATAACGATCAGGGGCAAGGTGCCCTTTACATTTGTGGTCAATGGCAAGGCCCCCTTTACATTGCTGATCAGTGGCAAGACCCTCTTTACTTTAGTGGTCATGGGCAAAACCACCTTTTGTTTAAGTGGTCAGTGGCAATTCCCCTTTCAAGTCCATGTCAACAGATTAGAGTCACCTTAAACACATGGGAATGGAAGCTGATGGTAAAGTGGGTGACGTAGGTAATTCTGCCTGATTTACCTCCCCTAAATAGCTGACCGACTTCCCTCAGCCACTAGGCCTTATAACAACCCTGTGACCTGCTAGGGTAGTAGTTTGCCAACATTACTGTGGGACACTGAAGCAAAGGTTCCTGGGGCAAAGGTGACTAATTCATGGCGGTGGAAGGGCCCCAGATGGGTAGCCTTACACAACTTTATA